AACTAGAAGCTCAGCTGGTCAGTTTCTTAGTGGAGTGACCTAAATCTTCATTCTTGAAGCATCTCAGTCCTCAATATGCCTGCCTCTTTTTGTTTTAATTTTATTTTATTTAAATTCAATTAATTAACATATAGTGCAATATTAGTTTCAGAGGTAGAGTTCAGTGATTCATCAGTTGCATATTATACCCAGTGTACATTACATCATGTGCCCTCCTTAATGCCTGTCACCCAGTTACTCCATCTCCCTCCCTCCCTCCCCCCCAGCAACCTCAGTTTGTTTCCTATAGTGAAGAATCTCTTACGGTCTGTTTCCCTCTCTGATTTTGTCTTTTTATTTTTCCCTCCCTTCCCCGATGGTCTTCTGTTTTATTTCTTAAATTCCACATATGAGTGAAATCATATGAATCATATGATCATGTCTTTCTATGACTGACTTATTTCGCTTAGCCTAATACCCTCTAGTTCCACCCATGTTGTTGTAAATGCTAAGATTTCATTCCTTTTGATGGCTGTGTAATATTCCTGTGTGTGTGTGTGTGTGTGTGTGTACATACATGTCACCTCTTCTTTATCCATTCATCTGTCGATGGACATCTGGGCTCTTTCCATAGCTTGGCTATTGTGGACATTGCTGCTATAAACACTGGGGTGCAGGTGCCCCTTCGGATCACTATGTTTGAATCCTTTGGGTAAATACCTAGTAGTGCCATTTCTGGGTTGTAGGGTAGCTCTATTTTCAACTTTCTGAGGAATCTCCATACTGTTTACCCTGCCCCTTTTTTAATATGGTTTTCTATTAACACTTACTATTGGGCATGGAAGTACTAAGATATGCCCCAGGAAATGCCCTGGGTTCCAGATATAGTCTTATTTGTACTCATGGGTTAGTAGCAACCTAAGTTCCCTCTTGGTAACTGGGATCAGTCACTCCAGCAGTAGAGAGATGCCTTTTACTGCCCATTGGTTTGGGACATAAGAAGCTTAAGATGGCGGGGTGGCAGCCTCATCTTCCAATGTAGTGCATGTGTTGTTGTGTCCCCTGCTGGAAACTTTCCTCCCTTTGGAACAAAGACCTTTAAAGCAGCAAATCTGAGTTGCCTGGATGGGAAGCAAAAATTTGTGAGTAGGTTATGATATAATGGTGAGAGGAGCCACTCCCAGTTACATCCCTTGGTTCCTGAATCCACGTATTCTGGCTGTGGAGGAGACAACACCATATAATGACCTCTGATTCAAAGTATATAGTGCACTTTGCAAGTCGGAACCCTGTCTTTGAAGATGTTTTCTCACATCTGGCACCATAACTGAATTTTCAGTAAGCAATTCCACCTTTAAGTTAAAGTAGCTACTTATAGATAATGGAGTATGTGGTAAGACCAGTTAATTCTATAGGCTTTTTAAGTTCACTGCTGCATTTCTCTTGGTATGAAATGAGTTTCTTCATCAGAAGCAATGCTGTTGGAATACTGTAATGGTGAATAAGGCATTCTGGGAGTCCACTGATGGAGGTCCTGGCAGAATTATGGGTAGAGAAGGAATCTATATCCAGAATATGTGTCTATTATAGTGAGGAGGATTTTCTGCCCTCTCAAAAATGGAAGAGTTCCAATGTAATCAACCTGCTACCAGGTGGCTGGGCAATGGTGCCTTATCAGGGACCCAGTGCTGATCTCTGCTGTTGGTAGATAAGGCATTCAGCAATAGCATTAGCCGGGTCAGTCTTGGTAATGAGAAGTCTGTGTAGTTGAGTCTATGGCTAGCTTCCATCCCTGCCATAATCATTTTGTTCATGGGCCCATTGAATAAGTGCTGGGTACCTGGGGAAAGAGGTTGTCTGACATCCACAGAGCATGCCATTTTGTCCACTTGATTATTAAGAGCCTCCTCTGTAGTGAACATCCTTTGGTGGTCATTCATATAGACAAAAATATCTTTTTTTTAAATAAAGATTTTACTTATTTATTTGACAGAGAGAGACACAGCGAGAGAGGGGGCACAAGCAGGGGGAGTGGGAGAGGGAGAAGCAGGCTTCCCGCCGAGCAGGGAGCCTGATGTGGGGCTTGATCCCAGGACCCTGGGACCATGACCCGAGCCAAAGGCAGATGCTTAACCGACTGAGCCACCCAGGCGCCCCAGACAAAAATATCTTTGCAGTCTGTGTCCTTTCCAAGAAGACCACCAACATTCCACTTCTCTCTGCTTTCTTATCACCAATCTTTCAATCTGTTTCCTTCCCTACCTATCCAACCAAATTGTTAGCAACCACACATGACTTAGTGTAGGTACATCATCTGTCTTCTCACTTCAGACAAGGCAGATATATATGTTTCCTCATTTCTAAGCCACAAATCAGGTGGCTTAGAACAACAAAAGTTTATTGTCTCATAGTTCCAGAGGCTAGAAATCTGAAATCTAAGTGTCAGTAGGGCCATCCTCTCTCTGAAGGCCCTACAGGGGGATTATTTCTCTCCTCTTCCTCGCTACTGATGGTTGCTGGCAATCCTTGGTGTTCCTTGACTTATAGCTGTATCACTCCAATCTGCCTCTGTGGTCATATGGCATTTTCCCTGTGTATTCTTGTCCAGATTTTCCTCCAGTTACTGGGTACCAGTTCCTGCGTTAGGGCCCACCTTAGTCCATTATGACCTCATCTTAACTAGGTTATATCTGCAAAGATGCTATTTCCAAATAAGGTCACATTCACAGGTTATGTGTGAACACGTATTTGGGGGGAGGACACTATTCAATTCAGTACAGTAGACAATCCTACTGAGGGTATTTCCCTTCCCCACTGTCCATTAGGGTGATTTCTGGGTGGAGTTTTGTTTAAGCATATTGCAATGAAGTTAAAATTTAATTACAAAAGTGTACATGCAATTTCACATATTTGAAAATTAAGTTATATATTACTAAATAACCTTTATGTTTAAAAGGAAGTACAAAGTAAATTAGTACTTAGAAATAAATGACAATGAAAATGCTACATGTAAACACTTTTGGATCACAATTAAAGCAGTTTTGAGAGAAAAAAATGATAATTTACATGTATTTATTAAGAAACAAGATAGTTTGAGGATTTTTTAAGATTTTTTAAATTCATCTGATAGAGAGAGAGAACCCGGGAGGGGCAGAGGGAGAAGGAGAGAGAATCTCAAGCAGACTCCACAATGAGTGGGGAGCCCGATGCCGGGCTTGATCTCACAACCCTGAGATCATGACCTAAGCCAAAACCAAGAGTCAGATGCTTAAATGACTGTGCCACCCAGGTGCCCCAAGAAACAAGACAGTTTTAAAACAAAGCAGCTGAGGGGCGCCTGGGTGGCTCAGTCATTGGGCGTCTGCCTTCGGCTCAGGTTGTGATCCCAGGGTCCTGGGATCGAGCCCCGCATCGGGCTCCCTGCTCGGCGGGAAGCCTGCTTCTCCCTCTCCCACTCCCCCTGCTTGTGTTCCCTCTCTCGCTGTCTCTCTCTCTGTCAAATAAATAAATAAAATCTTAAAAAAAAATAAAACAAAGCAGCTGAGCATTTAATTATGTTATTTGTAAACAGTACTATCCAAAGAAATAAGAAGGAAGCAAATAATAAAAATAAATAAGAAAATAAAGGGGCACGTGGGTGGCTCAGTTGGCTGAGCGTCTGCCTTCGGCTCAGGTCATGATTCCAGGATCCTGGGATCGAGCCCCGCATTGGGCTCCCTGCTCAGGGAGGAGTCTGCTTCTCCCTCACTCTCTGCCTATCACTCCCCCTGCTTGTGCTCTCTCTCTCTCTCTCTCTGTGTCAAGTAAATAAATAAAATCTTTATTTATTTATTTGACAGAGAGAGCGAGAGAGCACAAGCAGGGGGAGCAGGAGAAGGAAAGGGAGAAGCAGGCTCCCTGCTGAGCAGGCAGCCTGATGCAGGGCTTGATCCCAGGACTCTGGCATCATGACCTGAGCCAAAGGCTGATGCTTAACCATCTGAGCCACTTAGGCACCCCTAAATAAATAAAATCTTAAAAAAAAAAATGAAGAAATAAAAGCAGTAATATTTTTTCTTTTTTTAAGAGATTTTATTTTTTTGTTTCAGAGAGAGAGAGCACACACAAGTGGGGGAGACAGGCTGAGGAAGAGGGAGAAGCAGACTCCTCACTGAGCAGGGAGCTTGATGCAGGGCTCAATCCCAGGACCCTGACATCAGGACCTGAGCCAAAGGCAGATGCTTAAGTGACTGAGCCACCCAGGCACCCCAGTAATATTTTTTTAAAGATAGAAAACAGTAATGAAATATTAGAAGAGATATGAATCCCTAGCAAGATTAAGAGAGAGAGAGAGAGAAAGGGGGAGAAAATGCAAATAAATAACAATATGAAACGGTGGGGGGATTAACCACAGTCTCAACAGAAATTAAAACTTAATAAAATAATATTATGAAGAAGTACATGTAAATACATTTTAAAACCTAAATGAAATGGACAAAACCCAGGAAACACAAAAAACTGCAAAAATAATGCAAGAAGAGACAACTTGGAAAGATCAATAAGGATCAAACAAAACAACAAAACCTCAAGTCCTACATGGCTATACAGATCATTTCTACCCAAGTTTTTTTTTAAGTTTGTTTATTTATTTTTAAAAGTTTATTTATTTAAGTAATCTTTACACCCAGTGTGGGGCTTGAATTCATGACCCTGAGATCAAGAGTCACATGCTCTCCTAAATGAGCCAGCCAGGCACTCCAATTTCTACCCAAGTTTTAAGGTATAATTAATGTGCAATATAAACTCAACAGTGAATCTGAAAACAAACAGAAAAATCTAAAATGTATTCCTTTGAGATCGGGAAAAAGAAAACAGTGTCCAATATTACTGGTGATTTTTAGTGTAGCATTAGTGGTCTTGGCCAATGGTATTAGGAAAGAAAAAAAAAGCTGAAGGGGTATAAGAGAAAAGATAAAACTGTGATATTTTTCCAGATAATATAATCATCAATAAAGAATAACAGAATCAAATCATGAACTTACCAGAACTAATAAGAGAATTGAATAATGTTTCTCATACCAGCACAGCATACACAAATTAGTTTCATTCCTCTACGTCAGCAACAATAAACTAGAAAATATAATTTAAGAAAAGATACCATTTAACTTAGCAGCAATACATTTATAGAGAAAAACGTCAAACTGTAATAAAGGACCTAGAGGATGATCTGAACGAGTAAGAAGACATTCCCTGCATTTGGGTTGGATAACTTATTATAAAGATATTAACTTCCCCAAATTAATCTATAAATTCAATGCAAACTCAATCAAAATTTTGGTTGAAAATTTTAAGGAACTTGAAAAACTCACTCACAGAGAAAAGTCCGTAAATAGTTAAGTCAACCTTGGAAAAGTAGAATAAAAAGTAGATCTTGCTTTATCAGATATTAGGGCATATCACAAAGAAATAGTAATAAATGCTGGATGTTGTTGATACAGAAATAAATAAGAAATGAGATTGCCATGTGGAGACAATAAAACTGGATCCCTTCCTAACATTATGTACAAAGGGAAACTAAAGATTATTTAAGAGCATAGATATGAAAGATAAAAATATATTTTAATAGAAGTAAATGTAGAATTTTTTTTGAGCAAGGAACTTGGAAGGTGAGAGCTAATCATAGACAGTGGCCGTGGGGATGTAAGGGTCAAGATATTTAGGAGGTTACCATTGACAGACTCCTATCTGACTCTGCCTTATACTACTATTTCAAAGTTTGGAGCAGATAGCTGAAGTGGGTATAAATTATAAATGTATATACATATACATTGCTTTATATTACATAGCTATGTGTGGCAGTTTTGTGGCACAGTGTTATAAACTCAGAAGTCCTGAGTTTAAGTCATGGATCTGTCATTGACTAAGTGTGACCATGAGCCTTAGTTTTCCTAGCTCCGTAAAGTAGATGGTCAAAAAAACATAAAACTTGTTATGTACTAAATATAGAGCTCAACCTACCAATACCCTGTTTTTTCATTTGGATATCCTCCTTCCTATTATAGTTGATCTTTGGTGTATGTCTGTATCTGGGCATATTCTTTCTTTCACACATTACAGATAGCTCAACTCAAACAGGACTAAACAAAATAAAACAAAAAGGGGAAAAGGGGAGTTGTTAGCTCTTATAGATTTAAAATCCATGAGTAAATCTAACTTCTAACATGGCTGAATTCAGATGCTCAAGTATGTTTCAGGAAGGTGCCCCACTTCATCCCCTGGCTCTGTTCATCATGGGTTAGGTGTGTTGTTCCCAGGAGTTTCAGGCTTGTATTTTCACAGTTCCAAGATGGAAAGAGCGTCTTTTGCTGCAAACTCTCCCAAAAGTTCTGGGATATATGCTGTTTGGGTTAACTTGATTCCCTCTTTCATCCTTGAGCCAATCACTGTAGCCAAGCTGGTGGTATTTATGTTGATCAGCTGATGCCAATGTCATGTGATCATTCTGGGATGGGGTCAGGTGCACCCAAACTATGAATACTAGAAGTGAGGTGGGGGTAGTTTCCCAAGGAAATGCAGGGCTCTACAATAAAAAAGGAGAGGAGGAGGTGTGGGAGAAAAAAAGAATATTTATTGTATCTTTTCCCTTTCCTTTGTCTTTATTGTTCATTCTGACAAGAAAACATATATGAAAATGTTGCAGGAGCCAAAGACCTGGTGATTAGCTCTTGGGGAGGACCCTGACTTGAATTCAAGGATAACTGGGTATATGAGAGACAGGGTTGTGTAGGAAGAGTAACTTAGAAATTGGTAAAGCCCTTTCCTCACCTCCTCATCCTACAGAGAGCTTTTTTTTATTCAGATATAGTTCATACCATATAAATCCCTCATTTACAATGCATAATTCAACAGCTTTTTGTAATGCACAGAGTTGTATGACCCTCATCACCATCAATTTTACAACACTTCAGATCCCCAGGAGAAACTCTGTATCCTTTCACTATCATTCCCTTTCCCCTTAATTCCCCCATCCTCACCAGCCTTAGGCAACCACTACCTACTTTTTGTCTCTGTAGATTTTCCTATTCTGGACATTCAACATAAATGGAATAATATAATATGTGATCTTTTGTGACTGGCATCTTTCACTTAGCATAACGTTTTCAAGGTTCATCTATGTTGCATGTATTAGTACTTCATTCCTTTTTTATGGTTGAATAATATTCCACTGTATAGATATACCACCTTTAGTTTATCCCATTCATTAGTTGATACATGTTTGGGTTGTTTCCAGCTTGGGGTATTGTTTTTGGGTGGAAATATATTTTCATTTCCCTTGGGTATATTTTTAAGGGTGGAATTGCTGGGTCAAATGGTAACACTGTTTAACTTTTTGAGGAACTGCCAGGTTGTTTTCCTAAGTGGCTGTATCACTTTACATTCACAACAAGAGTGTAGGAAAGTTCCAATTTCACCACATCCTAGCCTGATCTTTTTATTATCTGTATTTTAAAAAATTACAGCCATCCTAGTAGATGTTAGGTGGTATCTCATGGTTTTGATTTGTATTTCCCTAATGAATAATGATGCTGAACATCTTTTCATGTAATTGTTGGCCATTTGTATATCTTCACTGGAAGAAGGTCTGTTCATATATATTTATGCAAATGTTTTTCCCATTCTGTGGGTTGTCTTTCCACTTTCTTTCCACAGCGTCCTTTGAAGCACAAATTTAAAATTTTTGAAGTCCAATTTATCCATTTTTTCTTTTTGCCACTTGATTTTTAACATGCCACGCTGCTTTTTTTGGTAATTTTTTTATTTGAATATAGTTGACTTCAAGTGTACAACTTATTTTTAATTTTTATTTGTTTATTTACCACCCTTGCTGCTTTTAAACCTGATGGTTTATACAAAAGCTTATCTCTGTTTCTTTTACACATAAGATCTCACAAGTACTTTAGGTGAGTCCTAAGAATACTAAAAAAAAAAAAAAAAAGACTCATAAGCATAGGACATCAGAGCCTGAATAAGGTGAGAAGGATATCCACTCAGGGGTAGCCGGATGTGAAGGGTCAGACCCACAGAAGCTAGGAAGACATCCATGTATGGCAGTGGTTCAGAACTGGGTGCTGGAACCCAAGAAAGGAAGGCATCTACACACGGGAGCAGCCTAGTGTGGGGAGTCAGAACCTGAATGTGCAATGAAAGGCATTCATGCCATGGGGCAGCTTAGTGCACTTGAGAGCCCAAATGGTGTGAGAGGGCTTTCACAATGAGGGAGGAATAGCCTGGAATAGAGCATTGGAATACAAGTGAGATGAGCAGGGTATCTGCATGGGGGAGAGGATGGGTGATGGGAGATGGATTATATTCAGGAATACTGATCAAATACTAAGGATAATAAGGGCCAGGTTTCTCACTATTGGAGAAGGGATTAAAAGTATAGAAGGGAAGAAAACTGGAATGAAATTTGTGGTGGATTAGGATTGGAGGTATTGGTATAAACTCGTAGTTTTTGTTATATAGAGATCAATATACAAATGTAGATATAAATGCATGTACATGCATTTACATATGTGTATTCACATATACATGTCCATCCATGCATAACACATATGTACACACATGTATTGATTAGATATGCCTCCTGAAAAAACTTGGGAGTAGTGGCATCTCCTACAGCAATGAGCAAAACCAGTCCCCAGATATTGGTCTCCAAATACCATTTTGAGAGCAGGCGAAGCAGCTTGCATAAGGATAAAGGCAGGCATTGACTATTGGGAAATGTTCATTCCAGGAAGGTAGAGTGGAGCTGCTCACAGTGGGAGCACAGGGTCCTATAGTGGTTCGGGGACCAAGCGTTGGATCCACACCAAGAGTGAGGTGGATCCTAGCTTTGGATTTATTAGTTAAATGATGTATTGATAACAGGTCCTTTAACATTTCCAAGCCTCAGCTCTTCATTTGTAAATAGGACAGTATAAGGATAGAAAGGGAAAAAATAAGTCAAATGCCTGGCGTGTTGTGAATACTCAGTATTCTTAATGAGAACACCAGGAAGGCATGTTGCAGCAGTGAAAATAAGTCACAGAAATAAACAAAAACAAAAAGACTCTGAAAACTTTCCAAAATCTTCATCTAAGCTCAGGAGGCCAGGAACTTGGTGGAGTTCCAGGGGCTTTTCAGTCCCATATACCAGCTATGAAATTAATATGTAATGCTTTCATGTTAATTAAGCCTATTAATATAAAATTTGTGGTAAAAGATCTGACCTGTGTGTTGGATAGTCCCAAGAGCAGGGTGTCAGATGGGGTGGGATAAAAAGAATTATTCCAATTTGACTTTATTCCACAGAACTAATGAGTTAGGGAAATTCCTATGAAAATGGGCTGCCCCTGGGATCTCACTACTGTTCAAAACAGAGTCTTCTCTGTTTCTTCCCTCCCTCAATAGTGCTTACATCCAATAAGTCACCAAGCCTTTCTCCTCAGTTTCCCCACAGTTGTTCTGCTTCTCTTCACCTCCACTCTGGTTCCAGACTTCCCTTCTGACTTGGTTATTTTGTGCAAAACTTTTTTTTTTTTTTAAGATTTTATTTATTTGACAGAGAGACAGTGAGAGAGGGAACACAAGCAGGGGGGAGCAGGAGAGGGAGAAGCAGGCTTCCCTCGGAGCAGGGAGCCCTATGCGGGGCTTGATCCCAGGGTCCTGGGATCATGACCTGAGCCAAACGCAGACGCTTAACCGACTGAGCCAGAGGCACCCCTGTGCAAAACTTTCTAACTGGTCTTTCTGCCCCTAGTTATTATGTTTCCAAATCATTCTCCATCCTGCCATGTAGTGATTTCCATTTTCCCAAGGATTAATCTGATTGCATCATGTCCACACTGAAACTCCTCAAATCCTATTTATTCCATGATAAATTTTGCCCTCCTTAGATGGCATTCAAGGACCTCCTGCCACGCAAACAGCTACAACCAATAGAGGCCACTCACTCCCTGTCCTTTGGGACCATTTTCCACATTTCTTTTTAAAAAATATTTTATTTATTTATTTGAGAGAGAGAGAGAGAATACAAGTTGTGGGGGAGCAGAGGAGGAAGGAGAGGGAGGGGAAAAAAATCTCAAGCA